CCTTTATAAACGTAAGCTTCTGGGACTATAACCATGTCAATGTTCTCTTTTTTACATTATTAGCTGAAGAAAAATAGGTGGATTTTAAAGATTTTTTTGTTAATTAGGAAACTAAGGAAGGGGCCAGCAGGAGCACAGTGGTTAAAGGTGCTGGATTCCCACAAGGCTCACCACAATTAAATCCTGGACCTGGCGGTTTGTTTTCTCACTTTCCTTTTCTCTCTCTCTGTCTGGTCAAATTAAATGATAATAATAATAATAATAACAAATAGAATTAAATAAATAAATCATTCTTTTAAAAAAATAAGAAACTCAAAGTCAGAAGGAGCCAAATGACTTCAGTAGATACCCAATGATTTCCCATAGAAATTCTCAAAAAAATCCCTCTTGTTTAATGGGAGGAATGAACAACAGCATTAACATGGTAAAAAGGACTGTCTAATGAAGCTTTCCTGGGTGTTTTTCTGCTAAACTTTCAGTTAAGTTTCTCATAATAAGCAGAGGTTATTGTTCTTTGCCTGTGCAGAAACTCTAACAAGCAAAAGGCCAAAAAACTGTTGTCATGACCTGACCTTTTGTTCTTGACCAATCCACTCTTGCTTTGGCTGGACCACTGCTACCTCTTGGTTTGACTGTGCTTTATTTTCAAGATCATACTGGTAAATCCATGTTGTATCTCCTGTTATTTCTTTAAAAAATTCCTTCAGAGTCTTGATCCCACTTGCTTAAAATTTCCATGGAAAGCCCTGTTCTTGTCTGTGGTTGATTGGGTTGTGACAGTGTGGGCACCCATCGAGCAGAGAGTTTGCTCAACTTTCATTTTCCCGTCAGAAATGTGTAACTAAACTGATTGAAATGTCTATGATGGCAGCTATTCTTCCTGCTGTTTATCATTAGTCTTCTTCAATTAGGGCAAAAACATGAATTTTTTTTCACAAACTGATGTGGATAGTCTGTGTGATGGGTACCAAATTCAACATCATCGCATCCCTTCTTAGAATGAGCTATCCGTTTGTACAATGCTGATTTCTTTAGGAGCATTGACCTTTAAACATTTTTGGAAAGCATCAGGGATTTCCTTTTTTTGCCCATGCTTCATCTTAAATTTGATGTTTAGGGACCAGCAGTTGGTGTAATGACTATGTCGCTGGACTCCCGTGTAGTCGACTGTGGTTCAAGTCCCGGATCGGTGACTTAAACTCACGCCAGGTATGTGTGCATGCATGCCCAAGATCCCCGAGAGGAAAATGGAGGAAAAGGGACTGTGGTGTGGCCATCCCCCCAGGGGGTGATTTCTCACTTTTTGTCTATCTCTCTGGCTAGCACACATGCCCTATAGTAAAACGTCTCTCAAAAATTTTTTTTTGGTTGTTGTTTATTCTTGTGTCAGTTTTAGAAGGCACATTGCTCTGATAGGGGCTCTTTGCAAATTGCCAAATTGTATCTTATCCTTCTTTTATTTTAACAGAACTTTTATTTATTTATTTTACTTTAAAATATTATTTTATTTTACACTTTTAGTTTACATTAATCACTGTATATCTTTACAGTGTAAAAATTGTTTTTTTTTTCCCAGATGAATGCAATGTATATCAATCAAGTTAAAGATGTTACCATTTCATTATTATCAGGCATAGCAAAACAAGTTGTTATTTGTTTTCTGGTTTTTGTTTTTTGTTTATTTTTAGGTTTTTGCCATAGGGCGCATATACTTTGCCGGAGAGAGATAGAGAGAAAAAGACAGAGAGGGAAAGTAAAAAATCACCCCTGGGGAGATGGCCATGCTGCAATCCCTTCTTCCGCATTCTCCTCTTGAGATTTTGGGCACACGTGTCTAGAGTTTTTCAAGCCACTGGGTCCAGGGATCAACTGTAGAGTCAGTGATATGGGATCCAGGGCCTTAACCGCCTGCCATCTGCTGGCCCAGATATGTTTATTTTGGTGCAAAAACATTTCAAAATCCATGCACAGTTTTTTTATAATATAAATTTTCCATGAACTTTTTGAAGAACTCTTATATGCGGTAGTTGATGGTCAAAGATTATAGTATCTCCTAATTTCATTCTAGTTTCTACATGTTGCTAGACAGCATATCCGTGGGCAGAGGTACAGGTTGGCTTGTGTGTCCCTAAATGATATGTCGAAGTCCTGCTCTCCAGTACCTATGACTATGATCTAGCTGGAAATAGGGTCTTTGCAGATATAACCAAATTAAGCAGAGGCTATTAGGGTGGAGCCTAATCCAGTATGTCTGGGCACCTTACTAGAACAGGGAAAGTTGGACACAGACACACACAGCAGGGAGACCATCATGTAAAGACAGAGACACGGAGGGAAGATGGCCACATGAAGTTGGAGGTAGAGATTAGAGTTTTGCTGCCATAAGCTAAGGAATTCCTTTTTTTTTTTTTTTTTTTTTTTTTTTTTTTTTTTTTTTTTTTATGGAGAGGTTTTTGCTATAGGGTACTTGCCAGAAAGACAGAGAGACAGAAAGCGAGAAATTACTCCCCGGGGGGATGGCCATGCCGCAATCCCTTCTCCTCCATTCTCCTCTCGGGATCTTGGGCATACACACACATGCGCCCAGAATGAGTTTAAGCCACTGGGTCCGAGACTCAAACCATGGTTGACTACATGGGAGTCCAGCGACATAGCCATTACACCAACTGCTGGTCCCAAGCTAAGAAATTCCTGAGGGCTACCAGAAGGTGAAAGAGGAAGAAGAGAAAAAAGGAGAAAAACTAAGAAAGGAGGAAGAGTAAAGAGAGAAGAGGAGAAAAGAGGCAAGGAGAGGAGAAGATAAATGAAAAGAAAAGGAAAAAGGAGAGGAAGAAAAAGTAGGAAAGAAGATAAAAAGAACCCTCTCCTACAGGGTTCTGAGACAGCAGGACCCTGATGCCACTCTAGCCTCCATAGCTATGACACATGACACATCTGTTGTTTGAAGTCACTTTGCTGTGGCAGTTCTAAGAAACTAATGCCAACAGATCTTCTTAAACACTTTGGGCTGCAATTACTTAACCTATAAAATGCAGCTAATGGCAAGTTTATAGTTGTAAGGTTGTTGAGAAGATTAAATATGATTGAATGAGACAAGACATGAACATTCTGGTGCATTCTACCTAATAAATAGAATGGGGTTTTTGTTCTCATCATCCTGGTTACCACCACAACCACCATCACCTTCCTTGGATAGCCTTGCCTCCTGGAAATGCTTGTTTTCTTTTTCTATACTTAAGATTTTTATATAAAGCTGGCGTATTTATTATAAAATAAAGTCATTTTTCTTAAGTGTGGATTCCCAGGCCCACCACCATAGATCTTTGATTCAACAGTCTTGGGTAGCCTTCTGGAATAGATATTGTTTCAAGGTGCCCAGACATGAACTCTCATTAACTACTAAAAGTGCAATGTAATTTAAGTGGTACACCTGGTATTAGGACCCCTATTCTATAAACATGGAAGCTGAGGTCAAAGGAAATTGAACCCAAGTCAAAAAAAGTAAAATCAAGTAATTTTTTTAAGGCTGAACTTCAGTAAGTTCTCTGATTTGATGAAATGAGAAACCCTAGACTAGTATGAAAAAATTCCAGATAACGAGGACTCCATAATACATTAAATGTGGGAGACGGTCCAGTAGGAGGATTAAGAACACATGTTTTGGAATCAGTCAGGTTTAAATTCTAGCTGTAGCACTTCATTTCTAGTTATGTGAACTTGGGAAAATATTTAACCTTTCAAGGTCTTAGGCTTTTAATCTGAAAATGAGAATAGCATGTATCAGTATTCTTCTAAAAAGTGAACGAGATGTAATGATAAAGCATTATTATTATTACTAGCACAGTAAGTGCTAAATGATACAAGCGTTCTTCAAAAAGTTCATGGGGGGGGGGTCTGGCCTAGCGGAGCTAGATCCCACATGGCCAACTGCATGGTTCGAATCTCTGCTCTGGTGTTTTGAAATATACACCTGGCGCACGTGCATGCTTGTGTCCCAAATCCTGACAGGGTGGGGAAATGAAAAAAAGATTGTGGCATGACTCTGTCTCATTGGGGAATGATTTCTTTCTCTCTCTGCCTCTCTTTCTGGCACTCTCTGGCAAGTGCACATGTCCTCTAGTGATTAAAAATAATAATAAAAGCTCCTGGAAAATCCATATTATGGAAAAACCATGCACGAATTTCAAGATATTTTTGCATCAAAATAAACTTGTACTTTAATTCCAGTTTCTATAAAATTTGTGAAGTTATCTCCTGTATTTTTGAAATATGCACTGACATTTGTTTTAAAAGAGAGAGCGATCAAGATCCCTATCTTCTGCTACTGATTTCCCTAGAGGTACAAATGCAGGAAGAAAGCAGCTCCATAGATGAGAACTAGGAACTGATTTCAGAAACAGTAAAATAGTGTCCATGATTTCCTAGTTATATATTCGTGACTACTTATCGGAAAATAACTTAACTTAGACTCTTACTATTTTGACTTTACCAAATCTCGTATCTTGGAGTTCTCTATTTTTATACTATTGACAGATCATTTACCAGCTATATAAGGATCATTTTTAGAGTTCTTTGTAGCCAACAGAAAATGTGTCTTTAAAGATATTCTTATGGATTATGATTCAGTAAGTATTGCCCAATAGGATTTGATT